CAAGAACTTTTAAAGCACCTACTGTGTGCCGACATTAAGCTACATATATGCAGCTACATGCATTATCCAACTTATTTTCCCTGACTGCATAAGACAGTTATTCTGCTTCTTATTTTGCAAACTGAGGCACAGAAGAAGGAACCGACGTGCCTGAGCTCACAGAACTGGAAGGACTGCACACCCCACTGGATGTGAGAGCCCACACTCTGGTGTCTGCACAGCTCTCCTCTCCACACCGCTGTCCTCCCTGTCATGCCTAACCTTCTTCTAGAAGAACTGAGGACAGAAAGGTAAAAGGGAAGAAACACTATTACAGTGTACGCCAAAAGATAAACAATCATTAGGTTAAACTGGGCTTATCATGTGTCAAATCATTTATTTTGGAAATGTGGGTTCAGCCCAAATATTTCAGGAACTCTGCAGGGAGAGACAGTTCAGTGTCAGATCTGCAAGGTGGGAGAGATAGGATCAGAAACGGAAACATTATTAATTACCCAATCAACTTTCCACTCTAAATGGAAATAGCCATTCATAAATCCCCTTTATGATTTTAAGGGTAAACACTAAAACCATTTTGTTCAGCACATCAGACTCTTGGCTAGAATAAATAAAACCCGAGGCCATGGTGTTGAAGCAAAGAAATTATTTTAATCTGTCCATTTTATTGCAGTCCACAAAGGAAGGACATGTTACTGAATGCCACACTGACTTGGTCTGAAATTACATAAGGCTAAATCCCAGAAGAGTGTATTTCATTCACTCATTCATTCATTCATTCATTCAATAAGGATTTGCTGAGTATCTACTACGTTCCAGGATCTCTTTGGGAACGTGGGATACATCAGGAACTAATGACAAAATCTCAGCCCATGAAGCTTACACTCTATTCACAATGACCCTTTTGCCTACAGCACTAAATAAGTACATAAATAAAAAAAAACACACAAATATACAGTAAGAAAAACCATAACTTCTCTGGCCTCATTTGAGAATAAACAAGAATATCCAGTCAGCACAATGGCTCTGGGTCCTTTCTAATGACTTGACATTTCAGGTATGAAGTCTTTGAATCCCGGTCAAAAAAGACAAGCCCATTAAACAGACCCACACGGGCTTCCAGAGCCCAGTGAGCTTCTAAACCGCTACATTCATCTCTGCAACTTTGTGCTCACTCTGCCATACAAAGAAAGAAAACAGTATATACAGTGTCAAGTGCATTGACACTACATGCAGTTCATGGAAAGCACAGTTGAGCATTTGAGGAACAAACCATTTTTAGGTTGTGCAGCATCTACCGTGAAGAGGTCAGCAGGAAACACGACACACATTTCATGAACAAAGAGTGCCGTGGTGTTTGTTGCAGAGGGGCCACTTTGCTTTGAAAACGTGCAGCTAATATTTTGCCTGTGGTACCCACCAGGCAGGTGTAGGAAGAGCACATATTTCTCAGGTTTTAGAAATAGCAGTATATTATAACTTGGAAGGCAAGTCCTAACACACCAAAAGCCACAGAGCAGTAGACTCCATTTAAAACAGAACCTCCTCAGTGCTGAAGAGGCTTCAAACACACCACTGTGCAAAACCAGGCTAAATGCTTCCCCGAGATCCTCATATGGCTGGCCCTTCTGCCGAGTGCTTTCCTTTGAAAACACTACATAAAGACTAAAAAAAAAGTATATTTTGCCAAAAAGATCATTCTTACTACTTCAGGCTTATAAAAAGCTTATGCTCATCAAACTGTTCCACATTTGATCTTCCCAGCACTCCTGGGAGATGGGTGGGGCCCGTGGCATCCACAGGAGAGAAGTTAAGACGGCAGGTTGTTCCCTCACACAGCTGTGTATTTTGCTCAGTGCACAAGGGCTCCCTGGGGCCCAGGGCTGCAGCCACCCAGAGGAAGGAGTGTTTGTTCTAATTTGCAGAAACAGGCCCATTGGCTCTCCTCCAGCCCTGTCTACTGTGAGCTCGTGGAACAGAAGCCCTAGATGATGCCTCTTTCTAATTCACACAAGGGCGCTGCAGAGGCTGGTGAACACAGTTTCCTGAGGCCACCCGAAAACTGCTTTTGATGGGGACAGCACAGTGACTGGAATCCAGGTCGACTGACTTCCGGTGCGTGCCTTTCCATAATGTAAAGTGAAAATTCTCACTGCCACTGGATTTACTGATGTTTCAGAAATGCACTCATAGCCCCTCCTGTGGATCTGTGAAGTCTGCTTCTGAGTAAAAAAAATAGAAGTGTAGTGTGGTCCACAGCGTTAACACTGTGCCATCACTAGGCCTTTTCTGCAAATGTTCTCCTTCCCCTTCCCCACCCCCACCTCCCAAAATGTCCTCCTCGGCCTTTCTGTACCATGAGCCAAAGACGCGGCTAAGTATTCTGTGAGAATTCTTCCAGACCCTGACTGAATGGAGCTACATAGGTGACCTCAGCACACGACATATGGCACACAATAACCTCCCAGCTGAGCCCAGGCAACCACAGAATCAGGAGAATTAAAATTTATCATTGGTTTAGGCCACTAAATTACAAGGTAATTTGTTACACTGCTACAGAGAACCGAAACACTGTAGCTTCTGGCCCTATCCCAGAGCAAAGCTATGCCCTTCTATCAGGCACAAAAAGCCCACCCAGATGAATGAACCCTGAGAGGAGACTGTGGCCAAAAAGAAACTGAGACTGGATACAGAGGATAGCGAGTTGATTCTGAAACATTTTACTCCCTCAATACAATTGGTTCTCTGTATGCAATCTACTACGGATTAAAAATAGCAAAAAAAAAAAAAAAAAGAATCCCAGAAAGTTCCAATAAGCAAAACTTGAATTTGCCACACACTACGCTGAATCCAAGCAAATGAGGTGATGTGTACGCACACCCTTCTGTGGCCTATATGCAAATATAGTTTATATGCAAATACAACAGTATTTTTATAAGGGATTTCAGCATCTGTAAATTCTGGTACGGAAAGGGGGGGGTGGTCTTGAAACCAATCCCCCAGGGATACGAGGACTTCAGGAGACCTCCCTCTGCATTCAGTCACAGCACCATGAGCTTTTCCTGCATAAATACGCATCATGAATTAAAATTGTGCGCATTTGTTGATCATTTATTAATGTCACTCTCATCCATGAGAGACCATCGGCTCCAAGAGAAGAGAGCCCAGCACACAGAGGAAAGTATTTGTAAACTCCTATGGAATGCTGCGGGAAAAGCATTTAGCCCAGGACCTTGACATGTGCCGAGCACTTTAAATGACAGCCTTTCATTGTGCTACATGCTTCTGCGTGAACAAGTCCTGCCCTGAAGAAGCTTAGTGTCTAATGGGGGTAAAAAACACACACAGAAGTAACTGCCCAACACTGTGGAAGGTGGTTGGTAAGGCCCAAAATGCCCCTCCAGTTCTGACAAGGCAGAGATCACCTCTTGACAGGCACAATCCACAGAAGTTTTCCAAGGAGCAGTGGCATTAGAGAGTCCACCCCCTAAGGGCCAGTCCTAACAAGAAATGGGTGTTGGTTGCTTATCTTTGGGCCCAGAAGCCTCGCCTAAGGCAAGGACTACACTAGTCCTTATGTGTATTTCATGCTTCATTCATTTATTCATTCCTCATTCACCAGACTTTTTTATTGAGCACCTAGTAGGTTCTAGGCACTCTTCTAGATACTGGAGGTCAAAGAACAATAACAAGCTGGCCTTCCCTCCAAGCAGGCCTCCATGATGGTATCCCGTTCACCAGCATCCCACTCAGCCCTTTGTGACCCAGCCCCTAACTTTGTTATCTCTGCTAATAAAAGTCAGGTCTTATCACAAAAAAAACCTGCTTTCCTCCCCCAGCATCCCCCTTAGTTTTGCTTCTGAGTAGCACATGGAGCACACTGCCTGGTGGCTGCTGCTTAACGCAAATTTTTGAAATCTTGCTTAAGAATGTGAAAGCTGAAGGGAAACCTAAAAGATCTCTGGTACAACGCTCAGCTCAGAAGCAGATACTGAGGCCTACAGAAAAAATGACCTTTGACCAAGGTCATCAAGTGAACTAATTAAAGGCAAAGCGAGACTAGAGTCCAGGGGCCCCACCTCCCAAGCCTGGGTGCCTTTGGTTTTTCAAAGAAGTTTCCCATTCTCCCATCCCCAGGGGCCACAGTCCCAGGAAGAGCCTTTGGAATAGAGAGGGCCACGGAGGACCCCGGCCAGGGTGCTCAGTTATAGTAGTCGACACAACAATAACATTTAGAGGCCTTACTAAGCATCAGTCACTGCCATAATCATTTTGCACGACTTACCTCAGTCGATTCCTCACAGCCAACTCTTTGAATTTATACTATGATTTTCCCCATTTCACAGATTACAGAACTAAGGCTCAGGGAGCGAAGACATCTGCCCAAAGTCCCACAGCTGTTCAATAAAAGAGCAAGTGGGGAGGCGACAGAAAGAATGCAGTGTAAACTAAGAGGGTGGCTGCAACGGCCTCCACTAGCTTTCAAGGGGTCACAGATGTACAGAAAGATCGACAAGTCAACAGGGCTCCAGAACGTGGGCTTCCTGTGACTCTCCCCACAAGCCTCTCGAGGCCACACACGGAGCCTTCCCTTCAGCCAGAGGGGGGAGCCTCCGAGGAAACTGCACTTCCACCCTCGCCCAGCACATCCAGAAGATGAAACCGCAGCTGGAGGAGGAGATGGGGAATGCGGCCTTTCGCGGGTGGAGGGGAGAAGAGCGGAAAGGGAACAAGAGGCGACAATAGGACGGAAAGGAGGGGGGACAAGAGTGGACCAGAGTGGAGAGAGAGGAGGGGGCCAAGGGGGCACTACTAGAGGAAGAGGGGAGAAGAGAGGAGGGGAGGGGGGACGAGAGGGGTAGGAGAGGTGCAGACAGGGCAGACGAGAGGAGGAGACACGGGGCAGCTGCGGGAAGCCGGGGTCCAGAGCGCAGACAGCTGGCCAGGCGCAGACAGCGCGCGGGAGAACACGAGCCCCGGCCGGACCCGAGTGGAGTGAGTACCTTTCGGAGGAAGCTGGCGACCACCTGCTCGAAGGGGTACTTGTACACCTGGTGCACGTCCACAGTGACCCCCATTCCCGCACGCTTCGGCCCGCCACGCCTCCGCCAGCGCCGGACACCCGAGCTTCGCCCTGGCCGCGGGCGTCCACGGAGGAGCGGCCAAGGGGGCGTGGGGTTTTCCCTCCTTTTTCAAACTTATGAAACTTTATTGTCCCCTCGGAGAAACAGACAGGCAGTCACGTCCCCGCCCTCTTCCGCCAGAGTCCGGGGTGAGCTGCAGGGCGCGGGAGGCGCGCTCAGAGTGCGGGGGCCTCAGTTGTCTCCGCCGGGAGGCGCCGGGTGCAACCAGGAGGGCCTGCGGACCGAAGTTTCTGGGCCCGGGCACTGCCACGCCGGGCGCAGCCTTGGACTTTGGGACTTGTGCTTTTGTATTATCACTTGGCTGGAGCCACGTTGTAAACCTTAAACTGCTATTGGCGACCCTGATAAAGTGACAAATATGGTATCTACTCGCCTCCAAGTTTAGGAGTTGTAACATAACCCCCTCCGTGTTAAGTACGGTGGGACAAAGGCCAACAACAACTGCGTTACTCACAGGACCCGGGCAGCTGGGTCTCAATCACAGTAAAAAATTGCCTGTGTCACCTAGAAGTGTCCAGGAAGTAAAGAACTGGGGCTTAGCGTAGCTGGCTCCCAAAATTCCTATGCGTCTTAAAGATTCAACACCACGAAGCAAGGAACAAAGGGGTACAAGAAGCATTTTGAGTATTCTTCACCCGAACAGAGCAGACTGTACAAGAAGGAGCAAGTGAATGCATTCATTCACATTACTTACCGAACACCTATTATGCACCAAGCACTGTGGAAGGCACCGGATTCAGAGGAATAGACAACAGTAGGATGGGTAAGCCCCGTGACTTAACAGCCAACTAACAGAACAGGAAAATAAACAGAATAATGGAGTAAAGTCACAGGGGGTGGGCAGGACATGCTGTTAGCTAGAGTGAATACGGAAGGTCTGTGAGGTGCTGGCTTTTACATTTATAATTTTATAATCTCACTTGCCCCTGACTCACATGGGTCACTGTGGTCTGGCAAAGGCCTAGCCTTGGATAAATCCAACTGTCCAGTCACTCACGGCTCGCCCAAGCCGCTGAATTAGACTGCGGGAAAATACACACCCACTGTGATCAGGCTCCCTTTGAATTCTCAACCGCTAACCTCAACGGGCTTTTTAATAGTGCTGGACAAAAACATCATATTTCTCTAATCCATTTACTGTCCCCCCACCCTCCCACCTCCCACCACCACCACCTCCCTTCCCAGCTTTCTTTTTCACTTGGTAAGCAGGAAACCTCTCTCTACCACACCTCATCTACCCACCTGTCCAAACGCCCTGCCTTCTCTCCTGTGCTTCTGGATGAACTGTCAGCATGTAACTGAGAGCCAGTCTCTCCACTTGCCCATTCATTCCCAGAGTGGGCTGGCAAATGGTTAACCAACAGCTCTGGGGCCCTGATTTCTAATGCTTGCGACTTCTGTGGTGTAAACACTCCCCCTATGACCAATTTCAAACCACCAACACGATGCCACTAACCGTGGCACTGGGAAGACAAGTGCAGGAGGGCACCACTGTGTGGCATTTCCATCACCCACCTGCAACAGACATAACCACAAGAACGTGGACCATGGTAAAGGCAAGTAACATAATTAGGAAGGGGTGAGTTTTAACTACCTTTTGCCTTTTAAAATATAGTTTATCTATGCCCTGGCTGGTGTGGCTCAGCAGATTGAGCTCTACCCTGTGAACCAAAGGGTCACGGTTCAATTCACAGTCAAGGCACAAGCCTGAGTTGCAGATCAGATCCCCAGAGGGGAGTGTGCAAGAGGCAACCACACATTGATGTTTCTCTCCCTCTTTCTCTCTCCCTACCCCTCCGTCTAAAAATAAATAAATAAAATCTTTTAAAAAATAGAAGTAAAGTATACTTTACCTAACTGTAAATTTGAGAAATTTAATAAGAGCTATACTTAACAACCAGCTGACAGGGTTCAGAACACAGTACCCCAAAATATGGCATCTTGGCAAACGGGACATTTTAAGCTGAAGGAGTTTGAGAAAACAGCAGAAACTGGAAGTGCTCTCTGACCTCCCCTTCCCTTCTGCCCTAGAGCCTGTCATAATCCCTGTCTGTGAGCAGCACCTGCCCAGGACCCTGAGAAAAGGAGCACACTTAACTCCAGGGTGGAGGGCTCCCAGGAAGAATCTGAACACACAGGACTTGCTAAGTGTCCCCCAGTTCCCAACACGTCCCTCACACTCTGTTCTGTCATAGTGCCACACGACTGTCCACGTGTCATCAAACCCAGCCCGCAAACACTTAGGTTTTACCATTTCTACAGGACTTCTTTCTTTACGAAGGCTCCCTATCACATAGAACTTAGGGCAAGCAAATATTCATGCTTTTCTCCTCTTTAGATGGCTTCATCAGTTTAATTTTCAGACCCAGCCAGGGACCCTCAGAGGGTCAAGGAAAACGTTTTTCTCCCGTGCACGACAACATGGCATCACTCAAAGTTCCTTGTCCTCTTTCTTACCCACGGACATCTCTCTAGTAATATCTGCTCCTCATTCTTATATCATCAGCCTTGTCTCTGCAGGATCATTCCAAACAGCACACAAGCACCCTGTGACTTCTTCCACCTTAAAAACATCTGCTCTTAACTCCCAGCTTCCTCCAGCTCTAAGCCAGATCACCGCTCCATTTTGCACCTCAAGAAAGTTGCATGTAATCTCTTGAGCCTATGAAGTCTGAGCCCCTGCCACTCCACTGAAACTACAGATGTCAAGGTCAACAATTGCTAAATTGCTAAATTGCTAAATTGCTAAATCCAGTACCGTCATACGCCACTTAATGACAGAGAGATGTTCTCAGGAATGTGTCCTGAAGCAATTTTGTTGTTGTGCAAACATCCTAGAGTTCATATACACAAACCTAGACGGGATACCCGACTGCACACCTAGGCTGCATGGCACAGCCTAATTGCTCCTAGGCCACAACTGGCACAGTGCGTTACTATGCAAAACAAAATGAGATTAAAATCAGGCACAAGCAAAAATGGTGCAATCAAGAGACGTGGTAAACATGAGATGAAAGAGGCTGCTGCCAGGATTACGCTGTCTAATGGGACACTTATTTTATATAACCAGAAAGACTACACTCTACAAGAAGAATAAAAAGTACAGTCAATACATGAACCAGTAACATAGTTGATTATCATTTTTCAAATGTTACATTTACACCAGCATCATCGCAAGCACGTGGGTAATGTGTTGCACTAGGATGTTATTGATGGCTGAGGTGTCACTAGGCAATAAGAATTTTGAACTCCATTACGATCTATGGGACCACCTTGTAAACGCAACCCATTGTTGACAGGGACGTTGTTAATGGGCACGTGGCTGTAGTTAGTTCTTTATCGCCACCTTATTAAACCTATGGGTAGTATTTCTTCAAAGACTGGGGTGGAGGTTTAGGATCCAGAGCCATTATATGTTGAACAGTTATATAAAGCAATGCTACTGTATCACCAACACCTCCTCACAAGAAAAAAACATTTTTTCTCCTTGGGGACTGCCCCAGCTCGTACAGGAGAGACACTTTTGTTGCTGGAGTGTAAGGCTCCTGTACCTGGCTCTACTACTTACTGGAGACTGAGTGTGACACAGAAGCCCCCTGCCAAGCTGGGCCCTGTGCCCTGCTCCACTGTGACCACCGACTTCCTCCAGAATGTGTCCCTGGGTAGCTGCTCGCCAGCTCCTAATTAACTGGCTACAAAATGCCAAAGTTGTGTCCTGAAAGATGAAAGGACTTAGCACCTGTTGGCTCTGCTTGGCCTGGCGGGCTGAGTGACCTGTGTAAGAACCAATGCCACAACTCACTCCAAAGACGTCAGGGCACTCAGGGTGCAAACGTGCCCAGGCTTGTGTCCGTGTCCAAACTTCCCCTTTTCATAAGGACACTGACCATACTGGATTGAGTGAGACCTACCCAAGTGATCTCGTCTGTTTATGGGCAGAATTATGCCCCCTCAAAATTCACACGTTCAAGTTCCAACCCCAGTACCTCATAATGTGCTATATTTTGGAGATAGGACCTTTAAAGAGATAATTAAGGTAAAGTGAGGTCATACGGGTGGGCTCTCATCCAGCTGGGCAGCGTCCTTGGGAGAAGAGGAGATTGGGGCACCAGTGAACAGAAGGAAGACCCTGTGAAGACAGAGAGGACAGCCATCTGCAAGCCGAGGCAGGCGGCCTCAGAAGAAACAGTGCCTTTTCTTCCTTTTTTTTTAGCACTGGAAGATGCAGTATATATGGTTTTATCTCCCTTCATTATGTTCTGTAACAAATCGAGAGCATTATGTTCAAAATATTATTTTAATATTAATTATTGCCATGATATGAATGAATCATAATTTTAAATTATGTTCGTATTTTCTTAATTTTACAACTATTGCTATCATGAAAATCCTTGTAGGTAAATTTTTCTGAGCATGTTTTATTGCTATCTATTTATTTTTTAAATTTTTTATTGAATTTACTGGGGTGACATTGGTTAATACAATTCTATAGGTTCCAAGTGTACAATTCTATAGTACACTATCTGTATATCATATTATGTGTTCATCATCCAAAGTCAAGTCTCCTTCTGAGGCAGGAGACAACATAGGAAGAACTCTGAGACTGCACTGCTGTTACCAGCCAGCGTCCAGCGTCCTGGTTGCCAGGAAACGCCTTTTATCACTAAAGTAGAATGAATGGTAAACTGAGGCAGGGAGGAGGAGGGAGACCCGTCTCGCCCGCTAACTCAGCAGTCCTGAGCCTGGTCTGATAACACTGCCAGGGGGTCCAACGTCACAAGAAACACTGTGTCAGCGAGGAAGACGGGAAGTCCTTGAAATCCTGTGTAGTGTTTCCACTATCTGGGAAAGAGAGCCTTGAAACGGTGTTTTCATCCCGAGGCCTGAATGCAGGAGAGGGTCCATTGTGTCCTAAGAAGGAGCCCATAAAACAATTCGGTTAATTGTCTACCTCTGATCACTATCTGTTTTGTGAGGGAGTCCCTAATGCTTACAGAAAGAGCCCATAAACAACTTTGAGTAACTGCCTCAACTTTAATTAACTGTCTCCTGTCACTATCTGTTTACAAGATGAACAAATGGGGTCTGGAGCAAGATAAGCATTCGGGCTAACAGACCCCACACATACCTAAGTTTGGGTAGTCACATCCCCCTAGGAAAGCTGGTACCACC